GATATAAAAGATAGAAACAAATTATATATATATATATATATATATATCAAATTTTTATTTAAACTCTATATATAATTAACAATATAATCAATATAATACATATCTTTTATTTTACATGGTTTTATTAAAAACCTCATTTTTCAGGATTTTTTACAGAGAAAACAAACTATGAACTGTCTAAAACAAATCTAAATTTTTTGACAAGTCAAATGAAAAAATAACAAATCAATCAAACTCTTATGTATCTGGAATGGTCATAATACTAGCTATTATTCTCCCACTTTGTGCAAATCGCATGTAGAAAAAAATGGATTTCAAGAAGGTTTTTGGCCCATGAAAGATTACATGAGTATATCATGAACTAATATAGGCAAATTGCAAAAATATTCAATAATTATATTAAAGTAGGATACAACACAATATTTGCTTAGTGGATATAAATATTTTATGAGAATATATGTAGGAGATAAATTGATATGTATTATGATAAAACAATTCTCATAATACACCTCATGATTATAATCATTTTTTTCACATATTTTTTTTATGATTTTGGACCAATTACAAAGTTTGATATGATACAAAATTGATATATAAAACTTTATATATATATATATATATATATTAAAAAAACAACCAATAATGATAAGGTGGATTCATATATCAAATGTGATATTAATTTTTATTAGTTTTATATATAAATATGATTATCGACTCATTTAACTAACTTCAATAATTTAAAAAAATATATTATCATCACGCAACGCGCGATATCAAAAACTAGTTCTCTATAAAATAACACCAAAAACATATAAGCCAAGATTGAACAACAATACACTATATTTAACATCCCCCTCAATCTTGGCATTTAAACAAGTTAATCATCATTAACTTTGAACATAAGTAAGTATGTTGATTTACATTAATAGACTTAGTGAAAATATCTGTTGGTTGTTCTGTTGAGAGTATCTTAACAATCTTTAACACTCTAGCACTAACCTTTTTACGAACATAATGTACATCAATATCAATATGTTTTTGGTGCGTTCATGAAACACATGATTGTAAGCTATTTCTATTACAGATTTATTATCACAATATAGACTTACTGGAAGTAAATTCTTAATTCTTAAATCAGATAAAACCTTAAGAACCCAGACTATTTCGCAAGTAACAGAAGCCATCTTTCTATATTCTGACTCGGCAGAAGAACGAGAAACTGTATTTTGTTTCTTGCTCTTCCAAAAAACCATAGATTTTCCAAGGAATAAACAATAACCAGTAACAGACCTTCTTGAAGAAAGACATTTTCCCCAATCCAGCATCAACATAAGCAGACAAACGAAAAGATTCTGACCTGGTAAAACTCACTCCCTTTCCTGGTGAAGATTTCAAATATCTAAGAACCCTTAAAGCTAATTTAAGATGAGACTAACGAGGTGAGTGCATAAACTGACTTAAGCAATGAACAAAAAATGCAATGTTAGGTTGAGTTGCAAGAAGGTAAATTAGTCTCCTATTCAATTTCTGATAACTGGTAAAATCATGTAAGGAAGGATCACCGCATAAAGAGTTCACATAATCTGTAATAGTAAGGTTCATGTC